AATTCTAAATAACAAAACCAATAATCTCCAATGCTAATTGTTCATCACAGAATAATAATAACACTTTTGATTTTACATGCTGCTCTGGTAGAGAGGTTCGATCAGCTAGTCGAGTGCAAGCTTCCTTTTGTTCAGCTGTCGCGTTTCTACCTTCTTTCTTCTTTTTTATGCTTTCTCTCGGGTATCTCGTTCCTGTTATCGTTGACAGGCATTTTCAAGCTTTATTGTCCACCATGTTCGAGGATCAAGGTTCCATTCCTTACTTTTCTGCAAGTAGCTGGTTAGCATAGCTTGGTTAATCGCTCTGGCAAACACTAACTTAATACTTCGTTCGTTCTCCAATAATTGACAATGATACTATTTAAGTTTAAGCTTTAATCTCTTGTCTTTTTCTTGAAAATTTATAGAACTTGAAAATATGTTATATTGGTAAAATGTGCAACGCCATAAATATTACTATTATACAACTATCATCATCATAATATAATTATCTAAATATTTTTGTCAAAGTGAGGAGGTGGACGTAGTCAACAGCGTCAATTATTCGATAACGGTGAAGTACTGTCAAAAAAACACACCACCTTAATATTATAAAATTGGAAGTCTATTTCACCTCAATTGTTAATTAAAACTATACAACGCAAGGGTTTGAGCCAATTTTACATTGGTCACTCAGTTTTCAAAAAAAAAAAAAAAAACATTGGTCACTCCATCACTGTAGAGAGATGTACAAAGAATGAACCGTACGTGTACTACAGTAGGGTTATGTGGCGACCGAATGGTGCATTAGAGAGCGGTGAATCTTAGAACATCAACCATTTGCGTGATGATACTTTATAACCAGTGGACTCCACTGTATCTCTACGTGACTACGTGGGTCAAACCATTTCCTCTAAAATATGTACCTGTGGTCTTTAAGGCCTTGTAATCATTTAATTTAGTTTGTTGCTTATATGATGATTTATTTTGGGTCTGCACCCATCTCACCGTCTCAATTCATTCTTCTCTTATCCTTACTCAAGTTTGTAACAAATGTTCCATCTGTACCATTTATATACAATTTGACTTCAACCTCAACTTGTTTTGGGATAAAAAGAAACACATTATTTTACTTTCATAAAACTCACACAGTAAAGCCTGGCCTCAATACAATCATTTGTACTATTCATTATACTTATATTATTTACCATATTTCTTTCGATAGTTACTCTCAATGTGTATGCCCGCATACGGGTGAGAGAGGGTGAGCACCCCCCCAAAAAAAAAGTTAGGTGCCTATTTTTTAAAGAAAAAAAATCAAGATATAACATGTTTTAGGACTTTCTCTTATTTTCAGCCATAAGTTTTATATTTTCTCCAATTCTCCTCCTATTATTTAGTTGGAATGAGCTTGTTTTTGTCTGCTCCAATTGTTTGATTATAATTATGGTCATATTTAAAAAACTGTACCTCAATTTAGATCTGATTTGTTATGTACTTTGGTTAATATTGATAGTCTAAAGTGAAATTCATTCTTCTCTCTCTTTTTATTTTCTAAAAATGTGAGGCCTCACTATTTTTTTAGCACATATTAGGTGGGCTCTGTGTATTAGGTTTGAGTTTTAAATTTATACCTACAGATGAAAATTAAAGGGTACATCATAAAATTTTCCCGGACTTCTTTAATGCTGATTTGGTCCCTAAAACAGCAGGACTGCACGTGTAAGGAGGATTTGACGTACGTAACGCGTCGCCGATACAGAGGTAGTATGGTACTTGTATATGTAGCGTTTTGTTTCTAGTTAGGTGAGAATCCACTATAGGATATACTACTATGCCAAAATAAAATAAAAAAAAAGCTCTAACTACGAATCAAGACATATATATATATATACAGCAGTTCAAGTTTTTAGTTATAATTGAATTTTTTTTAACAGAGAGGGTATATCATTATGTAGTTAATTATGTTGTTAGTTGGTATATATTACTAATACTTCCTCTGGGAGTACTTTCTCTGTCCCACTTTTAAGTCTAGTCGTGGATTTTTGTGTTCAATATTTAACCGTCCGTCTTATTTGAAATATTTATAAAAAAAATTAAAAAATAGTCACATATAAAATAATATTTATATTTTATCATCTAATAACAATAAAAAATACTAATCATATTTTTTAAAATAAAATGGACGATCAAACATATGGCACAAACAACGTAAAACTGTATTCATTTTGGGACAGAGTAGTATATACAGTGTATAAAACGCGTTAGCAACACTGGTCATTAGGCTTGACTTCCTCCGAGATCGATCCATATATTTATTCCTCCATAATTAATCCATAACATATCCGGTCTTACTTGGCAGCACATGTGCATGTGTTTACTTTTTTTTATGAGTTGGCAGCAGTCTGTTATTTTTTTTCCCCTTCTGCGTAATGCTTATAGACATGAGTATGAGCTGGGCTTGGACCGGGCCGGGCCAGGCCGGTCTAGGGTGACAAAAATCCCAGTGAAGCCTATCGGACCGATGACTTTTATATGAGAAAAACAACAAAAATAAATATATTATAAGTAGCGGTTGGTTTTATTCGGTTTGATTTGGTGCTGCATGCTTAGCCAGTGTTCGATAGGAAAGTAACTCATTAATGCATGATTAAGTAATTATTAGCTTAAAAACTTTAAAAATAATGTAACATGATTTTTTTAAAGTATTTTTTATTTTTAATTTTGCAAAAACACAACATTTAGAAAGTAAGAAAGCGTGCATGTAAAAAACGAAGTAGTAGAAGTTATATTATTTATCCATTCTTCTAAGATATAATTTGTCAAAAAACTTTCTTTGACTATATTTTACTTACTTAGATCACTTATTATAAATTACTCCCTTCATCCCAAAATATAACCATTTTAGCATAGTGACAAGTCAAACAATTTTAACTTTAACTATTAATAGAAAAAATTTTAAAAGATCAATCATGTAAAATTGATGTTACTAGATTTATTATTAAAAAAAACTATCATAATATGCAACCCTTTTTATTTAAAACATCTTACTTTTATATAGATATTATTGGTTAAAGTTGCATCTCAGAGACCATGTCAGAGTCCAAAAATGCTTATATTTTGAGATAGAGGGAGTAACATTATTATGTTTATAACATATAATATTTATTCTCTATAATCAAGTGGATAGTTCATCAACTTTTATCCTCAAATAATTAAAAATAGTGATACTTTAATTTAGTGCTGCCACAAAGCAAAGAACCGGAAAATAACATTAGACTTTGTTCCGCACTACACTTTCTTAACTTCTACTCTCTCATTTTTCCATGTGTACACTTTTCAAACCACTAAATGGTGCGTTTTTCATAAAGTTTTTCTATAGAAAAGTTATTTTTGAAATTTATCTTAATTTATTTTTTATTTTATCTAATAATTAATTAATCATCCACTAATTTACTACTCTATTTTGCGTGCTGTTTACCAACCCCAAATGAACTCATCTTTAGGTTCTCATTGATGTAAGTGGCACATGCCACATATTTTAGCTAGTCTACACATTATGCTATACGAGATTATCTAATTCAATAATAAATGCGATGACACCGTGTAGAGATTCTCTTTATGTTTTTTTTGTTGTTTTCCTAATAATGAAAAAAATAGAGCATGTTCACTTGTGCACTCATTTTTGCTTTTGTGAAAAAAAAAGGATGTTTGTGGTCGACATAATTATATGTTGTGTCTTTCAGATAGATAGTGAGTTTGTTTCTCTTGTTGTTTACGTTCTCTCATACGGTACACAAGGAGAACAAAGTTACAATCATATCCACAAAAGGATGATGACGCATCATTTCCCCCGTTGTTATTTAGTGTAGAAACATGGTTGCGTACACTGTTTTGGGTATAGAGGGTTGGATTTTAATCCATTTTCTAAATAAATATTTTTATGAGTCCTTTTGGAACATAGCATTAAGTATTTATTAAACGATTTGGTTCAAAATAGAATAAAAATACTAGTTGGTCCAAAATAAAAGATTCATTGAAACAAGTATTTTTAAAAATACACTCATGTCCTATTTGGGGTGAATATGACTAAAATACTTGTAGCTGGTTGTCAGTATAAGCCCATTATTTATACATAGAAAGTACTTGCTAAAATTAATTTTAGGGTAACATTCGATATAAACCCTCTATTATAAAAATGGATAGATAAGATCAAATATAGTCACTAACTCGCATTAATAGTACCGGTAGCATTATCAACAATATCCATCCAAAACATGAAAGGAGGATAGTGATATAGTTCTTCCTATTTGGTTTCCTACCCAGCAAAAACGGAAGCAGATCCTCTGACTTAACTGCACATGCAGTTGAGGCACTGACATGTGGGTCCCACTTTACTATGGCCCACATGTCAGTGACTCAACCGCACAGTAGTTAAATCAGAGGAACCCTTTCCAGCAAAAACATACTCACTCCCCCATCAGCACCACACCACTGCTCAAACTACTCCACTTGCTCCTGCACACTGGCCAGCCATACTTGTGCAGTTGTGCCCACAAAAAAAAACCCTTTGCAACACTGCTCCACTCCATCACTAGTGCTGCACCACCACCATCATCATAACCACCAAACCCCCATATTTCCTAGATCCACATTCAATCCTTTCCCCAGCATTTCCTCCCTTTTGTTTTTTGATGCAAATTCCCCTCCTTTTCTTTTAAACCAAAATCCCTCTTCTCTTTTCTTTTTTAAGCAAAATCCACCTCCTCTTTTTTTTAAGCATCATAACCACCAAACCCATATTTCCTATATCCACATTCAATCCTTCCCCCAGCATTTCCTCCCTTTTGTTTTGGATGCAAATTCCCCTCCTCTTTTTTTTTAAAAAAAAAGAAAAGCAAAATCCCTCTCCTCTTTTCTTTTTTAAGCAAAATCTCCCTCCTCTTTTTATTTTATATTTGAAACAAAATCCCTCTCCTCCTCCCCAATTTACTCCCCTATTTACTCCCTCCACCTCCCTCCATTTATGACCTCTCTTCCCTCCACCTCCTCCTCCTCCTCTCTTCTCCCCTTTCACACTCTAGCCATACTCTCTCCACCGCATTAGCTCGCCATTGCCAACCAGAGGAGAGAGAGAGGTGGTGGGCAGCGGCCACTTGCCTCTTCCGAGCTGTCTCCCATGACACCACCGCCGCCGCCGGTGTCGCTTGCTCCGTGCCAACAACCGGTCGAGCAGCTGGTGGGTGGTTCTTGCTAGCACGCGCGGCGCGAGCGCCAAGATCTCACCGTACGCGTGCAGCGCCGCGGCGGGCGGCCATGGGTGCTCGGGTGGTGCTGTTCTTGGCCGTGGCCGTGGTGGCGGCGGTGGCGCAGGAGCCGAACACGGACGCCTACTTCGTGTCGAGGTTCTTCGCCAAGATGGGGCGGGCGGCGCCGGCGTCGGGCGCGGCGGTGTGCGGGTGGCCCGGGGTGGCGTGCGACGGCGAGGGGCGGGTGGTGGAGTTCTCGGCCGCCGGGATGGGGCTGGAGGGCGCCGTCCCGGAGGACACCGTCGGGAAGCTGGCGCGGCTGCGGTCGCTTGACCTCAGCGGCAACCGCCTCGCCGCGCTCCCCAACGACCTGTGGGAGGTGGGCGCCTCGCTGCTGGAGCTCAACCTCTCCCGCAACGCCATCCGCGGGGACCTCCCGAACAACATCGTCAACTTCGCCGCCCTCCAGGTGCTCGACGTCTCCCACAACGCCTTCTCCGGCGCGCTGCCCCCGGCGCTCGGCTCCATCGCCGCGCTCCGGGTGCTCGACGCCAGCCACAACCTGTTCCAGGGCCAGCTCCTCGGCACCGTCATCTCTGGCTGGACCAACCTCTCCTCCATGGATCTCTCCGGCAATGCGCTGGACGGCGACTTGCCGGACCTCTCGCCGCTACTGTCACTGTCCTACCTCAACCTGTCCGGGAACAGGCTCCGGGGCTCCGTCATCGGAGCGTTCCATGAGCAGATGAAGGTGATAGACCTCAGCAACAACAGCTTCTCGGGGCTAAACTTTAGCAGTGGATATGCAGGCTCATCTTTGGCATACCTCGATTTATCAGGCAATGAGCTTACCGGGGAATTCAGTGTTGGCAACAGGTTTCAGAACCTGAAGCATTTGAATCTTGCATTCAACCAGTTGTCCGTGGCAAATTTGCTGGTGTCCATGGGTGAGATCTCTGGATTGGAGTTTGTCAATTTGTCGAGCACCGGGTTGCATGGGCAAATTCCTAGGGAGTTGTCTTCCCAATTGTCTAGATTGAAGGTGCTCGATTTGTCGCGGAACAATATCAGTGGAGTAGTGCCAGACTTGAGCTCGATTCGCCTGCAGGTGCTGGACTTGTCGGTGAACAACCTCACTGGGGAGATCCCTGTGGCATTAGTGAAGAAGTTGGTGTCCATGGAGCGGTTCAACTTCTCATACAACAACCTCACCGTTTGCGCCTCCGAGCTCTCTCCCGAGGCGTTTGCCGCTGCCTTTGCTAGGTCCAGGAATGATTGTCCGATTGCCGTGAATCCTGACCGTATCCAGAGAAGTGGGGGCAAACGCAAGGGGATGAAGTTGGCGTTGGCCATTGTGCTTTCGCTCTTCTTCTCGGTTCTTGGTCTGCTCTGCGTGGCAGTTGCATGTCGGCGGCGGAGGAAGAGGGGTGATGTGCTGCCTGCTGTCAAGCAGGTGTCATTCAAGGAGGAACCAGGGATTTCAGGCCCATTTGCATTCCAGACCGACTCGACAACATGGGTTGCCGATGTGAAGGTCGCAACATCTGTCCCAGTTGTCATCTTTGAGAAGCCCTTGCTGAGTTTCACTTTCGCCGATCTCTTGGCGGCGACGTCAAATTTTGATAGGGGAACTCTGCTGGCAGAGGGGAGATTTGGGCCGGTGTACAGGGGATTTCTCCCTGGTGGAATTCAGGTTGCTGTGAAGGTGTTGGTCCATGGTTCGGCAATGGCTGACCAAGATGCTGCAAGAGAGCTTGAGCGGCTGGGACGGATCAAACATCCTAATTTGGTTCCTTTGACTGGTTACTGCTTAGCAGGGGAGCAGAGAATCGCCATCTACGAGTACATGGAGAACGGCAATCTGCACAACCTACTTCATGACTTGCCTCTAGGAGTCCAGACCACTGAGGATTGGAGCACTGACACATGGGAAGACAACAATGGCGGTGTTGCCACCGAAAACATCACACCAGAGGGTACCGCGACATGGATGTTCCGGCACAAGATTGCATTAGGCGCCGCGAGGGCACTGGCATTCCTGCACCATGGCTGCATCCCTCAGATCGTCCACCGTGACGTGAAGGCGAGCAGCATCTACTTCGACTGTGGGATGGAGCCTAGGCTGTCTGACTTCGGGCTGTCAATGATCGCCGGGACCAGCACGGACAACAACCTGCTGCACCATTCCCCGGGCTACGCCCCACCGGAGTTCTCCGACTCGGAGAACGCCATGGCGACAGCAAAGTCCGATGTCTACAGCTTCGGCGTCGTGCTGTTCGAGCTGATCACTGGCAAGAAGCCACTGGGGGACGACTACCCCGGCCAGAAGGAAGCCAGCCTGGTGAACTGGGCTAGGGCGATGGTGAAGGCAAACCTCGGGCCGGGCATCATCGACCCAAAGATCCGCGACACCGGGCTGGAGAGGCAGATGGAGGAGGCCCTGAGGATCGCCTACCTCTGCACCGCCGAGCTCCCCTCCAAGAGGCCGGCCATGCAGCAGATCGTTGGCCTGCTCAAGGACATTGAGCCTAAGGTAGCAGAGCAGGACTGAAATAATATTACTAGTGTTTTTGGGGTATTGAAAAGCAAGTGTAGGCAGTGAGCTCCTTAGTTGTTTTGGCATAGTGGAGCTTCACTGCATTGCCATGCCCTGCTCTCCTCTGCTGGGATATATCTTTTTCTTCTTTTTTGTTTCTTTTTTGTTCTTCCACTTGTTGAGATGTTGCAATACAGCTTTGCTACACCTGCTCCTTACTAACAATGTTACTACTACCATTGAGTCATGACACATGGAAGATAGCTCTCTCTCATCAATGTGCTTGTTTTGCAAGAGAAATGGCAATTAAGCAGCAGCAGCAGTCCTGGTACTTTGCTGTCTCTGCCCACTGTTATTGAACAATGTAGTATACTTAAGCAAACATGGAACACCTTTAATACTGCTTCCTAGTACTACATGTTCAAATAAGCTGTCAAAAATTAACAAAAAGAAAGACAGCAATACTACTCCCTCATTCATTGACATGATTGCAGCTGCAAAACCCTGCACTGTCCTGAAAGTGTGCTAATAATCACCTGTTTAGAAGATTAAAGTGTGTTCCATACCATCATTATGTTCCAACTTTTTTCCAGTTTTTATCACCCCTGCTGCACCTGCACTGCCATTGCATGGCAGATGGCTCTTCTTTACTCAGCTCCTTTGCTAGTAGTGCTTTTTTTTCACCTTTTTTATTTTTTTTTCTTAATAATTTTGGCTCTTCTTCTCCGGGTTACGCTATCTCTAAGTATTAATTATGCTCTCGGCCATGCCTGGCTGCCAGTGTGATAGCCTTTTGAGAGGCCATCACTGAAGAGAAAATTAAAAAAAAAAATCACACACAAATCAAATCGCTTTCTTGACCAACCCTGCATCGAAATCGCTATCAAGCATGCGCTCCACTCCTGATCATTGTGCTTTTTCTGCTTGTGTAGAGCACAAGTGAGTGACTGATCCAGGCACAAACCCACAACTTTTCAGCTAAAATTCGGACAAATTTAGTGCCGGAAATTGCTCGAAAATCTCGTCTGATGTGGTCTGACCGGTGTTGTACTAGTGTTACCTGGCTACAAGCAAGGAGATTAGGGTTTTTTTTTTTTTTGCAACAAAAGGAAGAGTAACCGCGTGGCTGATCTCCTGTCAACATCATAAACCTAGGCATTTTGCGCGGATTAGCGTCGTGATTTATGGGGAGATGTAGTGTCCGTCCATCCTAATTAAGTGCAATCATGGGAAGAGTATGACTAGAACAGTAGTAAAAGGGCAATTATCCTTAAAAAAAGTTAGTAAAAGGGCAGGCAGGAAGGCAGGAACTGGCCAAATTGTGATTAGTTAAGCCATCAGGATCAGATCAAAGCTACTCTTCGCTGGGTATAGAGTTGTTCAATTAATTAAAAGTGGTCTCAGTAGTGTGCTTTTGTGGCCAACTAACCAGTACTAGTACATATGGTACATTGCATGTTTTTTGTATCATACTACCTGTTTGGCACAACTTGCAAATTGTTTTTCTTTTTCTTTCACCATGAGAGGTGAGAGCTACTTCCAACACAATGTGCTTTCGTGTCCAAGCTGTTTTGGCACACCGCTTGTCCGTATTTGTCACTGTCAACCATGAATTAATTACTGTTATTTATACTAGTCTTGCCTTTGATTATTATGACAAGAATGGATCAAAGTGGTTAGGTAACTAGCTAGGTACTAATCCTTGTTTACAATTTCCCCAGGTACCATAATCCAGGGAGAGTTGTTCAAAAATTTCTGGTGGCCTAGGAACTGAACTTAATATTTTGGACGTGTTCAAGCCAATTGTTTTAAATTTTCCTTTGTCCGATTCATTTTTAATTACATGGAGAAGATGCGTACACACAACACCCGGCCGCCAACTCGAAGCAGCCACGAGGGTAGGATGGACATTTTACAGTCACTTTATCTGTTTACCAAAAAGTAATTATTATAGTATTAATGGATATGATTATAGTGTAGTAATACTAATGGATATGATGTTCCATTACAAATTTGACAGATCAGGACTGTACTCCTAGGGTAAATAACGGACCTTGATGGTCCTTTATGGCTAATGACAACCTTGATCTCTGTCACTGACAAACTAATTAATTCTACCCTTAATTAATTAATTTCAAATTTCAAATTCGGAGTCATTGTCACTACGCAAAATGTACGTATACTCACAAGGTATCTGGAGAGCAAGGTTGTACATGGTCCAGTTGTTAGAATCTCTGCCCCTCAGGATCCCAACATCTCAAATCATGGCCTCCTGCTACACTCCAAACATGTCAAGACAAAACATGAGAATAACAAGACGATCAAAAGGAATTAAGCATGTCTATGTGCCGGCCAAAATCTCCACAGAATTTAATTAATTCAAAAGGCAACACTGGTAACCACCAAATTGAAATGTCTAGTTCATAGCAAATGAGATATGCGTGGCCATTAATTTGATTCTCAACTAACCCCTAGGACGCATTTCAAATCAATCCATATAGATAGTAATGATAATTTCATTGTACTATTATCTGTACTTACAAACGCATCTAACCGTGAATATAATTCGTTCCTACATTGCCGCAACGACTACGGATTCATTAATAAATTAGGTAATAGTAGGAGATGATAGGTAGACCTGGTCCATACGGTAGTACAAATTATTTAGTTATTAATTCAGATCTACAAAAGTGACTGCTTGGATAGATGTTACTACAAGAAATGAATTGGTAGATGAAGCTAATTCACATACAGGTTAGGTCTATTTACAATGTATATATTTACTACTTGAGTTTCATTAAATTACAGCTCAAATTCTGAATAAATTGTAAAATTCTAGCATCAAACATGGACATCCAACTCCTACCTCTCTGATATATGATTTTTTTTCTTTTTTAAAAAAATAAAAACACAGCACAAATACAGGCGCTTATACCCACTCTTTTTTATGAGCACATTTTAAAGACAGACCGGTATACTTTAAAAATGACAAATGCTCACTTCGCCTCATCTATGATCACTAGGCTAAGGTCAAAACCAACTCACTTGTGTTTTTACCAAACATAAACTTAACGTGTACTCATACATATTCTTTTCTTTTCTACTTTTGCAAATCGATACTTTACTTGATTATGCTTTGGCACACACCCAAGTGCATCAGTAATCATACCAATGGGACAATATAATTCCTTGATTAACAACACTAACAAACTTGATGGCTACACATGCTATTATGAAAGCGGGACAAAAGGTGTAAATAGATTTGTACTCACTAGCCAGTATGAATTTTTTGTGTGCAAATATGTTGATATAATGTGCACTTTATAAAGTAATGGCGTGCATTGCATATCCGTTCTCAGTGATTAGCCTAAGATGAAAAAAAAATAGGAGGCACCTTTAGTGTCTTTTTTTACTTAAATTTGGTTAAAAATATATTGGAGTGGTGGGAATTTTTTTATGTCATATGGGAATTAAATTGATTTATTACTGTGCTCGATTATTGTTTATTTTCGCCATGCGTCGCCTCCCTGGCACAGTCCTCATGTGGGCAGGCTCGAGCTGCATGCACCGTGCACTGCCATGTGTCACCTCCTGAGAAGTCCTTGCATGCGTAGACCTTAGCTGCCCCGCGCACGATCACATTTTGGATTCTAAGCGTCCTCATAATCGGCCCTTAGCCGCGAGCCTGCAGCCCATAGCCAAGCTTTTAGTCCCAAGCAATCCAGAATTCCAGGACGATTAGTGTTTTCCAGCTAATCCCTTCATCCCATAATATAAAAGGTTTTAGCTAAACAATCCGTCCTTTCTACATGGTTCTTGTTATGTGGAACTCCGTAGCAGAGAGGAATGGGCTGGCGCCTTGTGTCTCCTAGCCTAGGTGTAATTTTATAAGGGTATTGGAGCATGTACACTATATCTGTGAGGTTGACACCTATGTTCCAAATTAGCCTTGTTATACAAGTGCCCGATAATAAAAATTGTTGATGAACGTGAGGATCACCCGTAGTAACTAGCCACAGAGGATGAGTCCGAACCGACACCGTGCTAGGCCTTGACATGCAGGTCAGCAGCTCCATTAATCTAAATGGCGCTTACAAGGGTAAGAAAATGGCTGTGACCATAGCATAATAAGGGGGCAAAAAAAATACTATAGCATTTGTGGGGGGGAACATTTGATGGTGCAATGGCGCGGATGAGTAATTTATGCCTGTCCGGCTCGGTTGGTGTGAATGTCTGAAATCTTTGACCTGCTGCTCCTTGAGTGGGCACGTCTGCAGGACTGACAATTTGCTGCCAAAACAGAGATAATGCGTGACTATTCTTTCCTCGTACGGATGATTATTTTCTCCTGTAAGCAGCGTATATTTAGGATCTGTTTGGCTTGGACACGTTTGGAATGCAATTTTATGGCTATGGTTTGTAAGTTGAGAACACGTAACCCATGGAAAAAAACTAATTTTGAGACGGGACTTTATTTTTCGTTTTACTTACACCCTGTTTAGTTTCCAAACAAAACTTTTCATCTTGTCACATCAAATGTTTGGGCACATGCATAAAGTATTAAATATAAAAAAAATTTAATTATCCAGATTGCGTGTAAATTGCGAGACGAATCATTATGCCTAATTGCGCCATGATTTGACAATGTGGTGCTACAGTAAACATTTGCTAATGACGAATTAATTAGGCTTAATAAATTCGTCTCGCGGTTTACAGGCGGAATCTGTAATTTGTTTTGTTATTAGACTACGTTTAAACTTTAAATGTATGTCTGTATATCCGATGTGACACGTAGAAACTTTTCACCCCTGAACTAAACATGGCCTTAAGTGAATTGCAGTTTCTACTACTCTCTTCATCCTAAAATATTTTTTAAGATAATCTTTATCATAAAATATAGCTAATTGAAATTTAAATGTTATCTCAAATATATATCTAGGGTATATAAAAGGTGATTTTACTCCACTGCTACCATAGGGCCCATCACCTCACCGACCCTCAACACCAGCAACCCCTCCCATACATTAATAAGTATTTTATTCTCATCGGTACCCTCTACCATGCATTAATAAGTATTTTAGACATTTCTTTCCAATCCTTAATATCTCTAAAATGCCCCTCTGCTATATTTGGGATAGAGAGAGTGCCTTTATTACTAAAGCTTTATTTGAACCATCCTTTAATATATATATATCCACTTTATACTATGTAAGATTATTTTTTTTGTACTTTAGATTATCCTATTCTTTTTTCTAGTCATATCTACACTCTCCTCTAG